TTCTATGTTAAATTTTTAGTAATACTGCTTTTGAATATGTCATGAGATACAGCCCTGGTAACTTTTAGCAAGCTCACAAATATTTATTCCTTTAGTATATTTTGCAGCGTTTTGTAAAAAAATTTTTAAGACCAAATAGGTCTTACGTCACATTACTTGTTAGATTTTCAATTTTTATTCGATTATATATACCGCATTTCCGCAAGAAAGGCCCCGCATCAGCGTAAACGCCCGCATGAGAAAATGCTGTGAAAAAAATTAAAAATTAACACAAACGCCGCATAGCGAACCCGCAATAGATTAAATGGCCTGTGACATCATGCATAATACAAAAAAACTAACCTAAGTCCCGATTGGGAGGGAAAAATGAATAAATGAAACCTATTGCCTTAGTTAAAGGTGAAACATGCTTCTATGCTCAGAGAATTGGGTTTCCGCTCTTCTTACTTAAAAAACTATCCACAAGATCTTGTACCCAACGATGGGATTTGTTTTGGCAGAATGCCAGAAAATCATTCAACTGAAGAGGAAAACATCAAGTTCGTTGCGAGGCAGGTGGAGTCGTGTCCGCCTTTGAAAAATTGCAGAAATTTAGGGGTGGAAAGAGGATGGGTCCTGGAAGATTCATCGAATGACAGAGCAGAGAGACTATTCAACTGATGGAAGGTTATTTGAAAGGGGGAAAATGTTATGTTCTGAGATATCGTTAGGGTGAATAAGCATGTAGTCCTTCAAGGGAAAAATGTAACGAAATAACGTTCGCAAAAAGCAACTGAGTGGTCTTTTGTGTGGACAGCACCAGTCTATGAAATGAAAAGGCATCCAAAAAAATACCTGACCATCATTGGAAATTTTATTTTACCGCACCTAAAGCCGCATGTGAAATGCCGCCACCGCTGACATTTAGTTTTAAACACGTAATGCCACGGCTCGTTCTTCCGGAATTAGGTATAGATAGTAAGATAAAAATATATAATCCGAATTATAACTAATAAACATTAATTCTTCTATCTATTCTAAAATCGTAATAACTTATCTGCATTGCGTCATTCAGATTAATCATGCGATCTTACGTAACCGTTAATACAAGCCTCTGACAACAATCACCGAATTGTAAACTAAAAACTTTATTCTCGCGTTGCCTCCATCTTGCTAACCTAGTACTCAGCTTTTCCTCTCCTCTGTAAGATGTATTTCAACTGGCGTGCTTCTATCACAACATGTCGAAATGTAAATCTTCTGTGGAAAGGCCAACTAGGTGCCAGTGATTGTAGCCACAAATATCAAGTGGACAGATAAAAATGAAATTAAATCGCTTCTATGCCAAGTTTAATTTACGAATCAACACATTTGCTTACAAAGCAATCAGATTACTTCCTCTTCAATATAGGATAATACGCATCTACAGTGTGCCGTCATTCCTTGTGCGTTTAATATTACAATTACAGCCGTAAGGTAGCACTGCACTGAAACCTGAATGGAATTTAATTCAAGCTCTCATCACGTTTTGTGAAATACCAAGAAATGTGAAAGAAGTTGAATCATCAAGTTGTTTTTTCAGTGTTTAAAAAAAATAACAGATCATTCTTCTGCTTGGTGTTTGCAAGTGCTTCAAAAAATATCACGCGTAGGTTACAGATGAAAGTATCTCAAAATTAGAAGTTCGAATGCCATAGTGAAAAGGAAATCATCAGTGAATTACCGTTAGGAATTAAGCATTACAGCGGGGTTTCAAGGTCGATCTGAGTTTGGTGTTGAGCAAAGTATGTGTGACAGAAAAATTATTTGCACTTCGCTTTTCAAAAGCTCAAAAAATTTTACATTCGTGTGAATCTAGCTCAGGAACTAATATTTATGTGCTGCGGATTCTACAGTTTTCATTTCAACTTTGGTTAACATTTGCAATTTGTTTGAGAATCTGAAATTCTTGTTCATATTTTCTAATTTTTCATAATTATGTGTGAGCAAATAAGTACGAATTTAAGCTATTAACTTATAATAGGGAAGGATATTAAGATAAGTTTTTATGTTTTGAATTTTGTGAGAATTTGAATACGAATTTATAATTTTCTAAAAATGAAGTAGGTGTAAAAAATGAGTGAAATTATTACAGAATTAATATGAATTAGGGTAACTGCATGTTAATTTAGGGTTATTGTGTTGTGTTAGTATAGTATGAGAGGGTGTACTGGTTCCTTCAACAAGGCTGTAATTACCTCTGATTACAGTTGTTTCCTGTTTTACCCTCTTCATGCAAATAATGTGGAGGCTCCATTTATGAAGCATTAAATTTTTTTATATAGTATGATATAGTTGTTTATTATGGAAGACTAGTGCAGTTCTCAAAGCCAGTTACTTATTGCAAGGACGGAAGGCCTTTCAAGTAACTGCCTAGGCACCGGGCCACAGTGCAGAGAAAACACTGGTTAGATCAAGAGGGACGCCCTATTGATTATATGTTTGTTTAGAAGTATGCGAGGCTTCCAGTGTGGTAAAATCAGGCAGTGTAAATGGAAAGATGATTACTGTGAAACATAAATTCTGAAAATCTATCATGTTATTTATGATGTTATTAAATTATAATTAATCACTATAAAAAATAGTATCATAATATTTATGTGCATTGCATATAATTTAAAGTAAGGATTATTGTAAAAAGTTATTTTGGATCGTAATAACAAGAACATTCCCTGAAGAATTATGATTTTTGTGAATTCTCAACAAAGACTTTTGGACTGAAATTGTGAAAAATTCAATGGACTCTAAAAATTAAAAGTATTTAAAAAAAAAATGAATTGTAAGTATCTTACAGGACAAATTTTATGATTATTTATTTTTATGTTTTTTCATTTGCTAGGTGATTAACTCTCTCTCTTAAAAAGGTTCTCTGTCGCTAAGCTTCTTTTTGAAGGGGGAATATGTAAGATAAAATAATGAATCAGAATTATAACTATAAACATAATTCTTCCTCTCTATTCTAAAATCGTAATAACTTCTGCATTGCGTCATCAGATTAATCATGGATCTTACGTAACGTTAACCAGATGCCTCTTGACAACCAATCACGAATTAAACCAAAATTTTCTCCTCGCTTGCCTCCATCTTGCATAACTACAACTTCAGCTTTTGCCTCTGCTCTGCAGATGTAATTTCTGGCTTGCTTTCTACCAACAATATCAAATGAAATTTGTGGAAAGGCACGACTAGAGTGCCAAGTATTGTGGCCACAAATATCAATTGGAAATAAAAATGGACTTAAAATCGCTTCTACTGCCAAGTTTAATTACGAAGTCAACACATTTGTTACAACGCAATCAGATTACTTCCTCATCAATATAGGATAATACGCATCTACAGTGTTCCGTCATTTCCTTTGTGCTTTTAATATTACATATATATATATAAAACAATTGTACTTTAAATGGTTATGTACCTTGAATGTATCATTAGAGTTTGTCATTACTATTTCAGGCTGTATTTTATACCAAACTTCACCACTATTGAGAAAGTACCAGAACTGTCAATTTTGATTACGACTAGAACTAAAAAATACTTTTTTGATGTAGTCAGAATGGCAGGTTCAAAATAAACACTTGGTTTTCCTTCAGAGTGAAAAAAGAAATTAAGAGTAAAACTGCATGAGTGGTCAAAAAGTTTTACTTTGGGAAATTAAATAAAATTTTAACTGTTGAAAATTTTGGCAAGATTAAAGAAGTTATCTAGCACTTTTTTCTCATTGCATGTCAGTTTTTTTTTTTTTTTTTTTTTTTTTTTTTTTTTTTTTTTTTTTTTTTTAGTTTTTTTATTATTGTAAGCACAGATTATGAATCACTGCAATTTTTTTTATTTTAGATAAATCTTTACTTTTGTATATATATTCCATTATTTAAAATTAGTTCTAAGTTTACACAGTTATGTATGTATATGTAGAATTTACTTTTTCTCAGTTCAGGTGTTAAATTTGAATTTAAACATATTGTCAAACCTCCTGATTACTGCTTTGTTTTCATTCCGCAAGCATGTTTACATTGAAGACAAACAGAGCTAAGTTCTTAGCAATAGCATTTTGTAAAGACGTTTATGGTGTGAAAATGAAAAGCTTGATAAAGAACTGCAAAACTTCCCTTTATGAATTCAGAATTTCAAATGTAACACTTTATCTTAACTGCTAATAATGCTATGGCAAATGAACAGAACATCATGGGCATAGCACAGAGATCCATTTTAAGGAAAACAATATTGATGAGGTGCTTGTGAACCATATTTACTTGTCTACTTATTATTGCTATTTAAGAATGGATATTATTCTAAAATTAATTGGTATTGGTTATATTAAAATTTCAATACTTTTTTTATGTAAAAGAGTTCTTTCTTGCCTCATATTTTGTTATTGTTTATTTTTTCTGTCCAATATATTTTCTCCTGAGCCAGGGCCTAGTATAGTGTAGTTGGCCTTGCTTGTAATGTTATTATTTGGATTGAGAATAAACAGTGTGTCCCAGTTTAACATGCTTTGTAAACATCTGCCTTATTCGATTTATTATTTTATTGGAAAAGTCAACTGTTAAATGACCTAATAATAGAATTTCCCCTAAATCAGTAAAAACAAAGCCTATCACATTCATAGTGTATACAATTATATTAAAAATATGTAGTAGTTTTGTATTAAATATTGTAAATTTATTTATAGTTTAGTAGTTGTTTCTGTTCAACTAGTAAAAAGTGTAAAAATTAGAAAAAGAAAATATAAATAAAATTGGGAAGACATGATATGTAATTTTCATAGCCCTTAATCCTGTATTATTGGAATTCTTCTGTAGTATGTATATTCTTATTCTTGGACTGAAAGTTCCAAATTCCAGACATATCCATTTATTAAATTTTGTTTTTTAAGTTTGTTTATATTACATTTGTATTTTTAGTAGTTTATAATTTCTTATGTAAAATTATTATGAATAACATTTTTCTTAATCTAATTCATTCTCTTTCAAATCTTTCAGGTATATTAACTCATAGAAGATGCCCACTTATATATTTAATGGCTGTTCACCATATACATCATTATATATTTGCAAATCAAGATGTAAACAAAAAGTCTCAAAAAATCCTTCTGTCAAGTATTTTATGTTCCACGAAAAAGGTTTGTGCTTTCTTTGCTCTTGTTTATGTACATTGTTAAATGATATCAAATTTACTATTAATTATTTGTATTCATGTAAGATCTACTGCAAAGTTTTATCCATTTGGAGAGCAAAGGAGAATAATGCATTTTCATGCCTTTAATAATATTTATCTTGCAATATAATTTTCATTGTTACTTGTGACCTCTTGCCAGCATGATGGTAATTTTGTAGGTGCCATTTTTGAAAAATATCTTGTCCTTAGAAGTGAAGAACTCAAAGAGTGCTTGGCTGACATCTGCTTCAGTTTTTAATATTTTCCCCATCAAAAACATTTTGCAAGGAGAGAAACAAGTGATAATCAGAAGGAGCTATGTCTGGGGAGTATAGTGAGCACCGCAGAATTTTCAATCCTAGCTCTGCAATTTTCTGACGAGTCACCAAAGCAATGTGTGGTCTGGCATTATCGTGTGGCAGTATGATGTGCTTCCTATTGCAGATCGCTGAGCCCCCCTTTTTTTTACTACTTTGTTTAAATCATCCATTTGCTGACAGTATCCCTCCCAACAGAACTTTTCATTAGATTTCAAAAGCTGATAATATATTGGTCCTTGGAAGTCCCACCATATGCACAACATTCTCTTACTCAGGCTCAGACTTGATTTAAAGTTCTATGGAGCAGATTGTCCATGTTCACAGTATTTTATTTCTCTAATGATGTTTTCAGAGGTAATTCTATTTTCATCACCATTTATAATCCAGTTTTTTCCCCCCTAACAAGCAGAGATGTGTATATGACCCAGTCATGCAAATGTTTCTTATATCAGTCTTAAACCACCCATCTGGAATATTTAAAGACCAATCCTAGTTTCTGAATATTATCCAAAACGATTTTTTGAGCTTAATTAAGGTTTTACTCAATTTCTAATGTCCAAAAAGGATCTTGCTCATTCATGGTCTCTTAACAATACCTTCATCAATCAAAAATGGCTGCCCAGAGCATGGCTTATCATTAAGGTTGAATATCAGCCAAACTTTCTGGTAGATCTTGTATTTAAAATATATATTTGCTTATAACTTTTCCTGTTTACAAATAACATTATGCTTTAAGATTTCAATGTAATGTCATATTAAACCTTATGGTCAGATGACAAGGCAGTCTTTGATCATAAGCTTTAAAAACACGCATCTTGAAAGCATCTGTGGGACTATTTGGAATCAACTGCTTTTTCATTTTGGTATTTTAAACCATCAGTGCTATATATGTAAATTTATATAGATATTTTACTGATAATCTGCAAGAAAATGCAATTAATCCATCAACAAATAAAATGAAAGTAATAAATCTGTTAAGTAATAAATAAGAGCTGGTCAAAACAAAAGCTCTACATTATATTTCTGAGAGAGTTGCTACATTCCCCCCACATCAATTGCAATCTACTAGATTTGGAGGAAAGTATAAATTGCATAATAATATGTGACTGGCTCATAATTGGTGGGTTGGCTGATCTTGTCTTTCAACTATATACTGAACAAATCAACTGCTTCACCTCAAATTTATCACCTCTGTTTAGCTTAAAATTTATCAGTGAATATCATACAATATGACTTGAATTTTTCAGTTCAGTTAATTGGTACTTTTGATGATATTTTGCTGTTTGGTGAACTTTTCTATCTTCCTACTAATGCCTCATATTTACTGAAAACTTGCTACCCTTTACTAATTTGATCTTCTCTGTTTCCAATTTCCATAATAAACAAGGCCAAATCAGCTAGGTTTCATAATAAAAAGTGGACACTTGTATTAATAATTGCTTATTCTAAGCTACTATGTATATTCTGCTCTGAAGGGAAACATTTACCTGTGCTGTATGATTTTTTATTAGTGATATGTATTTAGCCACTTTGGATTCCTGTGATAAAAGCTAACAAGTGTTCGTTCCTTCATAAGCTTCTTGAAACTTCTATTGCTTAACAAGTTTATAAAATTTGTGATTATTGAAGTTTCCTTTGCAGATGCATGAAATTATTTTAATGTAAAAGCATAATAATATGTTTTATTCTATTATGAAGAAATAAGTATTCCCTCCCAATAAGTACTTATTTTATATTAGCTTTTATATATTCCTTTGTAATTTAGATTTAAAAAAATCTCTCTTTAATTTTAAAATTATAATTTGTGGAACTCTGTAAGCAAAGAAGGTCTGTGAAATCATTTTATGAATTATTGTGTTATATTTTACAAGGATAACTTTTTTATATTATATATTTATATTGCTTATAGGATGCACAACTGCATGTTCTGTTATACTCTGAAGTGAATTTGGATGCAGAACATGGTTTCATTTTGCAGAATGAGCTTTCAGCAACTCAGCATGAGCATCTTAAAAATATCATGGGAGCACCTGTAAATTTATGATAAAAATTGCTTTTGTGTAATGTAAATTTCTGTAAATTTATGGTGTAAATAAATATTATATACTAAAAATTTCTACCTTAGTTTGTTTTTAAATGATGAATATGTGTTTTATTATGTAAATAATATTTTTTAAAAATATAATTCTCTTTCTGTAATTTTTATATGTGCAGCTGTAAAAATGTTTTATTTGTGAATGTAACTTTAGTGAGGAATTATCATCCAAAAATGAAATGGGAAACAGTATTTGTGAATTTCTATAATACATTGACTGATTTTAATAAAAACCAGAGATTGAATTCATAATATTGAATAAAATTGAGAATTTCATAAAGAAGGCATATAAGTCAGACTGAGTTATAACTACAGATAAATTGTTCTGTTTGGGAAAAATGGAAAAAAAAAAAAATCATAATAAAATGTGTATTTTCTAGAAAACTAAAATAACAGAAGAAATTAAATATTTATTTCATAATGATGTGATGCTTGTATGATTACTGTTGCCAGTTTTTTTATAGCTAGAGTTAGTGAGTTTTTATGTAATCTAACTGCAAGAAATAGCTGTCCAAAAAACGTATTGGAGCAATAGAGGTTTGCGATGAATTAAGAGATCCTAAATGCTTGTCAGTCTGTCCATTTTGAATTTTGTATATATAAAAGGTATAAAATTTTGATGGAATTTTTTGTTAAAATAAAGCAGTAACTTTAACATTACATCTTTTCATCTAGTTCATTTTCATCTGTGATATGTTTTTCTGTAACTATTTCTATGTGGGAATCTTTATGCATTTAAATCCATGCTGGCTTTTAAATTTGATCTTAATTTACATTCATATTATTTCTAAAATTGATTATAAAACAATGTATTATGTAAGTATAAATAGATTAAATACAGTTTTCCCATCAATCCTGAGAAAATTCTTTCTTTCAATGATAATGTAACTAAGTAGAAAATAATTACCAGGCATTTGTCGATTTTACTGTATAATAATTAAACTCTAAGCTCCAGTTTGGTCTATTCAAATCATGTCTGTAAATGTTCCTTTCCACCATTTTCATAGATTGCACAGAAAAGCTTACATGATGCATTCTTTAACTTCAGTGCCATTATCAACATTACACCATGAGTGAGCAATTGGTTAAAGTACATCCCAGAAAATGGTAGTCCTTTTTGCACCCATAGTG